GAGGAGGAGGAGGAGGAGGAGGAGGAGGAGGAGGAGGAGGAGGAGGAGGGAGCCGGGCCCGCAGGTCGCCGGTGAGGGGGGGAGGAGGAGGAGGAGGAGGAGGAGGGAGGAGGAGGAGGAGGAGGAGAGGAGGAGGAGGAGGAGGCGGAGGAGGAGTACGACCAGGATACTCTCAGGATGTCCGTTGGAGACACCGGTAGTGGGCCCTCGGGGGGGCCTCGTCGCCACGGATGGGCGCACCTTGGAAAATCAATGCGTTGGGACTCGGGAGGGCTCCGAGGACCGATCTTGAAGAGGAAGGGTGGAGGAAGGAGGGGCAGGTGGCAGCTGCTCTCCAAGGCCCTCTCGGCTCAAGCCGCTCGTGCTGCAACCGCTGTTCACTAAGTCCCGGCGCCTGCGCCCAGCGCCCGAGCAGCGCGCGGGATGTCCGCGGATCCTCTCAGTGAGCCCAATTGGCTGGCGCCATATTTGCGGGATTGGCGCCACGACCATCCTCTCCGAGCCACCGAGCCCATTGTGTCTGGGTGTACAAGTGAGAAACCGAAGAAGAGCGCACAACGTCCGTGGCACTACTACACTGTGAAGCAGCCGGCAGGCGGTGTTCAAGCGTGGCTGCTCGTTCCTTTCCTCGTGAGGGCCCCAGCCTCTGGCGGGACACCCCCTCCGAAGGGAGCTGAATCCCAGGCGGGCTTGGAGACCAGAGTCAAGGATGGCGTTTTGATGGAGCACTACACAAACATCCATCGGATCGCGGCCCTCTTGGAGAGCCACCCGCTCGTATCCACCGTCACGCAGCACAGGGTGGACAAGTCCCTGCACCCTCGGCGCTTAGACGAAGATGGCCGGGCGTCCAAGTACCACCAGTCCCCCTGGGATTTGGCAGTGACGCTCGCAGCCTCTGGCGCGAAGTTCACTTGTGGGTGGAGCACCAACGCGATCAAAGATCCGCGCGCGGCGATGTGGTGGCTCCTGGCGGGGGGTTCCGCAACGGAGGAGAACCTCGTCCAGGCGGAGGCGATATTTTGGGATGTCGCCGAAGCCGGCCGGATCTGGCCGCCCGGCTTTTCCGCTCCCACGGAGCCCTGCCATGTCGCCGCCCGCCCGGCCATGTTGCCGCCGAGCGCTTCCGCGAGCGCCTCCGGAAGCGGCAGCGTGGCGCCCGTTGCTTCCCCGGCGGCCGCGTCGTTGCCCCAGCCTCCGGCGGGAGACGCAGCGCGCGCATCCGCGCTGGCGCCGCAGGCAGCTTTGGCGAGCACGTCTGTTCCGCCGCCCCTGCCGTGCGCCACCGAGCCCGCGCCGGCGCGCACGTCAGCCTCTGCTCCACCGCCTCAGCCTCTGGCGGCGAGGCCCCTGCAGCTGCCTTTGGCGGAAGCGCCCGCGGCCGCGGTGGGGGCGCCCGCCGACGCGACCGGAGCGGCCTCCGCGTCGTTGCCCCAGCCTCTGGCGGGAGACGCAGCGCGCGCCTCCGCGTTGGCGCCGCAGGCAGCTCCGGCGAGCACGTCTGTTCCGCCGCCCCTGGCGTGCGCCACCGAGCCCGCGCCGGCGCGCACGTCAGCCTCTGCTCCACCGCCTCAGCCTCTGGCGGCGACGCCCCTGCAGGTGCCTTTGGCGGGGGCGCCCGCGGCAGCGCTCGGGGCGCCCGCCGACGCGACCGGAGTGGCCTCCGCGTTGCTGCCTGCGCCGAGCGGTGGCGCCGAGCGCCAGGACAACCTCGCGGGCGACCAGGTGGGAGCGGAGGAAACGGCTGAAGTGCAGGGTATCGATTATACCGAAGATAAGGATGACAGCTTGTCGCCTGGAGGGGAGGAGCAGGACGTCAACGCCGAGCCCGCGCCGGAGCAGGCCCCCCCGGCTGAACCGCAGCACAGGGTGCGTCGCCGCTCGAGGTCCCGACCGGGGCCCCAACGTGCACGCGACCCAGCCTCTGGCGGGGCGGACGGCGAGGTCGACCCCACCGTGCGCGTGTCCGCCAAGAAACTGGAGCGCCTGTCGGAGGACCAGAAGGAGCGGCTGCGCCAGATCGTGCGCACCAGTGAGCGGCAGGTGCACTTCGGCGAGTACTGGCAGGGAAGGGTCAGCCTGCGTGAGCGCATGCCTCGAGAGGCTCCGCAACTGGCGAGAGCTCGCGACGAGCGTCGGGCGCTTCTCCTCGGTGAGTTGCTGGAGTACGCGGACCCGATCCCGGACGCTCCGGAGTTCATCGCTGGAATCCCTTCCAAGAACACCATGCGCTTCGGCGCCAACGAGGATGTCGTCAAGGCCATCGCCAGCAGGAAGATGCACTACATGCGTTTGCTGACAAACAAGATGGACGAGGATGAATGGCTCACCTTCGTCGAGGAGTGGCCGGACTTGTCCCCGGCCTCTGGCGGGTGGTGGGTGCTCCAGCGCGACGCCTGGGAGCAGCTCAAGCAGGAATGGCGGGGGTTGTCTCCGACGATGCCGAAGCCCAGTCGACCCCCAGCCACGTCCTCTCCACCCATCTCCCTTCCCTCCACGC